TGTTGCCTCTGTGACCTGACCAYGAGTAAGTGGTAAAAGATGAATAATTTGAATGGATAGAAAAATAGAACAACCTTTTTCCTCTTTCTGTAAAGTCCCTTTGTTTTAAAAGATTATGTCTAGACAGTTGAATTCCAGTCTCAGTACAAGAATTGAATGGGATGCCAGGCATACCGGAGTTTCAAGGATTCAAGCGGTACCAACTTTTCTACCATCAAGTAAGGTGGCCTGTTTCCATAAAAAAAAGGGGGCAGTTGCAAATCATCCAGCTAAGTCTGTGGATCCATGTATGAAATAGTTTGTCTTAAWGGAAATAAGTGTTAATGTAATTTCATAATTTATCAAACCACCTAATCGTCTCATTAAATATTTGTCTTGTGGCTTTAGTTTTCTATACTGCAAAGTAAAAGACAACAAATGTGCCAAAAGTAAAATAATTGGAGCAAAAATATACCTCAAATCAGAGGCTGAAATCTATTTAATGAATATTTTTCAAATGCACAAAATAAAAAAAAACAACTCTAAATTACACCACGCAGAATATTTAAATCTGTAATCTTATTACGTGYGGTATTTAAAAAGGATTGGCTTTTTTTAATAGCAGATTAGATCTCAGACAGACGAGGTGGTCATTTGAAAGCCATATGCCACAGATTAAGATACGGCACTATGTTGTGAAGCTTTTTCATGTCTCTTTGAAAGACTAATGCACCACATCAGAACTGCTCTTAGTGAGCTGCTTGTAAGTGGGCAAAAAAGCACAAGCTCCTAAATCCCTCAACTCCGACAACAGGAGAAAGAAACAAGTATATTACACATCATATAAAGGGGGGAAAAATGCGTATTGTCTGAAAAATGTGAGGGATTTAGTCTCAGGGATTTTCTTCCACTTTGCTGCACTTTGTCTGAGAGGTTAGAACTGGTCGTTGTTTGCAACATGTTGATTCATATCGTACTTCAAAAACATTTAGGGTCAACTATTGGGTGAAATCTACTAAGCARTGCTGGCCTTTCAAAAAAGAAATAAAGAAAAAAAATGATTTCAATAAAAATGTATTGATCATAAGTCCAGTAATACAGTATGAGGCATTGCAATGCCAATGATCACTGTAAAACAAACAGCACCAAGTACACAGCAGAAAACTATGCTTTGGTGCGCATTATAATCTATCATTTAGATCCTCTGCTTTTAGTGATGCTGGGAAAAATGTGTCAATGCTAATACATAGATTATGAAGCCCCAGTAAAGCTGTGCTGGGAGAAAATTCCATATTRTGAGTCACAGTAGCAAAAGCTGTCTGCAAAAATAGCTTATGCTTTTTTTTCTCTCTCTTTTTTTTTTTTTTGAGGAAAATATGTCTCTCAAAGCATTTTACATTTCCTGTTATTGTCCTTTGCTGAAAGCGAAGGCAGAGCGATAATGTTTTTTGCCAAAAGTCTGTGTGTGTGTGTGTGTGTGTGTGTGTGTGTGTGTGTGTGTGTGTGTGTGTGTGTGTGTGTGTGTGTGTGTGTG